ATCAATTCTTCTTCCAAAAATCCCTCCCAAACAAGCACTCAATTTGATTTACTCTCATTTTTTATTTTTTTAGTTTAAATAAAAATCATACAATTGAAACTCTTTTTCAAATTGAAATATAATATTAACACCCAAGTACCTGCCATTCTTTGATTATTATATTTCTTGTATATTGTTGGCAAAGTAAAATCATTGTTTTTCTTTATTTTGGCCTAATCTAGAAGACCATATGCATGAATTGACAAAGTGTACTTGACCTCCGAGTCTTGACGCGGAGTTGATTATCTACCATAGAAATTTGGGAACTTTCCTTATGGACTATAAGCACTGCAAGTATATATATTCGTGTATATAATCTGAAATTCATTGCATTCCATAGATATTACTTTCTTTTGCAGTAATCAGAAAGAATAATGGGTTTCTTGCAGTTTCTTTCTTTCTTTTGTTTACTTAATTTTCTTTCAATTTTGTCATCCGTAAATTCTGAAAACAGTCATCTGGAAACGTATATTGTTCATGTCGAGTTGCCTACCAATACTAGCCCAGCGTTGAACAGTTTTTTAAATGATCTGCATAGCCTGTATCAAACATTTTTGCCCACAACCACAACAAATTCAGAGGAGGAATCTCGCATGATCTATTCCTACCATAATGTGTTTAAAGGTTTTGCTGCGAGATTATCGCCTGAGGAAGTGAAGGCAATGGAAAAGATTCCGGGATTCATTTCGGCCCGAGTGCAAAAGGTAGTACCTCTACATACAACCCATTCTCCTAACTTCCTGGGGTTGAACCAAAATATGGGGTTCTGGAAAGATTCCAACTACGGTAAAGGTGTGATTATTGGAGTGTTAGACAGTGGAATAATCCCTGACCATCCTTCATTTAGCGATGAAGGAATGCCCCCACCTCCTGCTAAGTGGAAGGGAAAGTGTGAATTTAATTTCATGGCGTGTAACAATAAGCTCATTGGAGCGAGAAAATTTTCAATTGGAAATGGGACACCATTGGATGAGAGTGGCCATGGCACGCACACTGCAAGCACCGCTGCTGGAAATTTTGTACGAGGTGCAAATTTGTTTGGCAATGCAAATGGCACGGCTGTGGGGATAGCGCCGCTTGCTCACTTGGCTATATATAAAGTTTGTATAAATAATTGTTCTGAAAGTGACATAATGGCTGCAATGGATGCTGCAATTGATGATGGAGTGGATTTGATTTCCCTTTCCCTTGGCGGCCCTGCTAGAAATTTTTTTGACGAAAATATTGCAGTGGGTGCATTTAGTGCAATTGAAAAGGGCATTTTTGTTAGTGCCTCGGCTGGAAATGATGGGCCGAGACTTGGTACTATGGGGAATGGTGCTCCGTGGATACTCACTGTGGGTGCAAGCACTATTGACAGAAAGATTAGAGCAACTGCAGTGCTGGGAAACAAAGAAGAGCTAGATGGAGAGTCGGCTTTTCAGCCTATGGATTTTGATCCAACGCAATTATCTCTCGTCTACCCTGGACTGACTGCTAGTAACCCATTTTGCACGCCAGCATCTCTTGCAAGCATCGATATCAGAGGGAAAATAGTCTTGTGCGAAACAGGTGAGATAGAAAGCATTGAGAAAGGTCAAGCAGTTAGGAATTCTGGTGGCGTCGCCATGATTCTCATGAACCAGGAGCCCGATGGCTATACTATATGGGCAGAGGCTCATGTTCTTCCTGCAGTTCATATCAGTTATGTCGATGGACTAAAAGTGAAAGCATATATTAATTCAACTGCTACTCCAACAACTTCAATTTCATTCAAAGGAACTATTATTGGAGATGATCTGGCTCCATCGATTGCTTCTTTTTCAAATAGGGGTCCTAATCCAGCAAGCCTTGGAATCCTTAAACCCGATATTATTGGCCCTGGTGTCAATATTCTTGCAGCTTGGCATGTTTCTATTGAAAACATCAATACCAAATCTACATTCAACATGATTTCGGGAACTTCAATGTCTTGTCCTCACCTTAGTGGCGTTGCAGCATTACTCAAAAGTGCACACCCTGATTGGTCCCCTGCAATGATTAAGTCTGCAATTATGACAACTGCTAATCGTATGAACCTCGCCAATAACCCGATTGAAGACCAAACTTTGCAACCTGCAAATGTTTTTGCTACTGGTTCTGGTCATGTGAACCCATCAAAAGCGACTGATCCAGGATTGGTTTATAATATTCAACCTGAAGAGTACATATCTTATTTATGTGGCTTGAATTATACGAACCAGCAGGTTGAAATTATTGCGAACCGAGTTGTTAACTGTATGGATATATCTAGCATATCTGAAGCCCAGCTAAACTATCCTTCATTTTCTGTCTTTCTTGGATCCAAAAATCAGACATATTCCAGGATAGTTACAAACGTTGGTGAGGCCAATTCAACTTACTCGATCAAAATCGACCCTCCACCGGGCATTGATTTGAGTGTTGAGCCCAGTAGACTCCAATTTTTCGGGCTGAACCAGAAGATGACATATAATTTGACATTCAGTCGATCAGCCACTGCTAGAAGTAAATCAATTGTTCAAGGATTTCTTACGTGGATTTCTGCTAAGTATTCTGTGACGAGTCCAATTGTTGTTTTCATTGAATGAAATGTTTTTCCCATGATTCTGAAATAATATGAACAGTTTCAACTTTTTTATGATGATTATTATGAAATAATTTTAAATTAAGAAGTCTTCCTTAAATCAATGAATAGGTACTGTCTTGTTGCTTTGATGATCACTAGTATTGTCCAGGTTCATGTGAGGCAGTCGTGAACCATATGTACTGTTGTAGTTAGACTCAAACTCTAGTAGATATTGGAGTTTTGATTGAAATGGTTTTAAAGAGATTAAATTATGGACTAGGGAGAAATGTCTTCGTAATTTCAATAGCTAGTGCTAGTTAGCGCTCGAGTGGCATTATCACATCTTTAGCCGAGACTTGGCGTTCGCTTGACGCCTGAGCGGCGGAGCGCTGCTCATTTGGTGCTTGAGCGGCGTAGTTATCCGGCCCAAACCCGTTTCACGTTATAAATCGTTTTTTGGACTCCTATTAATCTACAACTCGTATTTTAGGGTTCATGTATATTCTCTACTACTTGTATTGATGTCAAAACATTCATACAACATCCTGAGAGCTTTAAATTTTAATTGAAAGTATTGAGATCTTGTTGTAAACACATTCATTATTAATTATATTGAAATTCTCCGTCTCTGTGGTTTTTTCCATCTTGAGTTTTCACATAAATCTTGGCGTTCTTGTTTTTCATTGTTGTCATTATCTTGCTATCAATTCATAACAA